CCAGGGCTAACTGGCCCCACGTTTTTGCCTCTCTTTCCTCCTGAATATTCCAGACACACTACCAGGGCATATTGATGAGAGCTATCCCATCCTCACCACCCTGTCTCAAAAATCTTGGAACCCAAAATTAGCTTAAGAGACCTTTATTAGTGAAGATCACAAACCAAATGACTCCAAAGATAATAGAGTTAAAGAGCAATGATTAAGCCTGTGTGTTGAAACATCACATCTTAATGCCATCTCCAAACACCCCTCCCTCCCATCTCTCCCTCTCTCCTGGGCACTTACCTTCTTTGGGCGGTCGCTTGGCCTCCCTGGTAAGATTGCAGACCTGGGTGGTTTGCAGCTCCTGGGTCAGGCAGCCCTCGGTCTGCTCATTCAGGGGTAACACCACGTTATTTAACAAAACCAGCGACTGGTCGTCGATCCCCCACTCTCCCAAATGCTGAGGGCAGGTGCATTTTGTATACATGATCCCACATGATTCTGTTCTCCCATTTTCTGATTTTAAGCAGCTCTCCAACCAAGTGCATAATACATGGCAACCAAACTGGCTTGGGCTCACCTTGTTCAATACCAAAAACTCAAAAAAAGATTTCTGATCTTCTTCCCCTTTTTTCTGTAATCCTGGGAAATCAGTTGGAAACACCCGACGTATCTGAATAAAATTTTTATCATATTGTAGAAAAACGAAAGCATTCTTGGAATCGCAGAGTTGCATTATAGAATGATTCTTTCTTAAAAGATCCTTTATTTTTTCATGGGAAAAATGATCAAACTGATAAGCCAAGAGGGAAAAGTTAGAGCAGCTAAGGTCCTTTTTGGAAAATTTCAGGTAAATGCTATATTTGGTTGGATCTGGATTTTCCAGCGTCCAAGTGCAGTTTGTAAAGTTTTTGGGAAACATTTCACTTACAGAATACGATCCATAAATGACTCCCTTCACCAAAGTTGAACACCAGAAGTCTTGGGCAGCATTAAATCCAAACATAACCAGGAGATAGGTGGAAAATATATAAATCAGCAGGTTACGAACAGCCTTCATCCTATGTCATTTGGCCTGTAAAAATGGCAATGAAAGTAAAATGCAAGTAGGAGTCTACACGCATTGAAGAAAGAAACTCCTTCCAATATTACAGCCAGCTGTTTTCAAGATATCAGTAAAAAACCCTTTTTAAAAGAAGGGCAGGTAATTTTTTATTTTACAATGCTAGGAAATTATCGGTGGCTGTGTGAACAGCGCCCTCACGTGGTCATTCACAATGACCAAATTTTCTACATTCACTTTAAAAATAATATTTAATAGATTATTAACAGGAATGCTGTAATTTATCTACCAGGATTTCCTCCCAGTACATTATGATTCTATTGAAAGAGGAGGAAAACATACCTTTTAAATAATACCATAACCTAAGTTTTTAATTTTTGAAATCTTTTTAAGCAACCTATACAACCTTTTCTCTCCCTCAGTCGGCCCGAAGAAAACATCATCACACAAAATCTAATCTGATAATCTGGGAACAGCTGTCATCACATTACTTCTTTTACCTTGAATATGAAAAGCAATTTTGATAAAGGATGGCCACAATTTTAAAAGCACAAATGATAATTTGTTGCAGATGAAACATCATCTCCCAAATACCCATACTTGTCTTTGCAGGGACCATCGTGTGAACTGATGGGAATTCCTGTGCAAAAACACCAACATTCATTTGGATTAATAGAATTTTAAGCCCATTATCTGAGAAAGGGCATAGATGGGTAGATACATAGGGAAGACTTGTTGTTCAACATCACCTCTGAGAACCAAGATTTAAGACAGTCATTTCAATGTGACATGCCCTCTTGGGATACATAAAGTGGATCACTGTATTAGTATCTGTATCCAAAGGCGATGTCGGTGAAAAATCCCAGAACCACAGCTGGCTTCAGCCTTTTAATTTTTTTTTTTTTTTAATTAGGGCTATTTTATCTAGAGTTATTTAAGATTTAACTCTAGTTACTGTAATTTAAGATTTATACATGGTAGATAAAAGACATTAGCATTTTCTTTCCTAGCAGATTTCAGTTACTGAATTGCTCCCTTTCCAACAACAGCTCCAAAGCTCCTTTTCTTTATGTTTTTTTAACCTGGCCTTGCATAATAAAGTAATCCTGGTTATATTTACCTCTGTAAGTTGTTATCCAAAAATAACTTGAATTTTTTTCAGCTTTAACCTTTAAGAAGTTATTTCTTAGAATAAATGACACTGCTTTTTTTTGTTTAGCCTTTGAGCTGAGAAAAGTGATGCCAAGTTAATTATAAAAGTCTTTAGGCTGCAGTCTCTTCCACTGTTCTGTAAACAGAGACAGACATACAGACATATAGACAGTTAAGAGTTTTCGTGTCTTTGCCTGGGTCCTCTCGGAACCAAAGGATAAAACCCTCTTCCTTCCCATTGCATAACACACACCAACGCATGCACACAAATACCAGTGACCGAAGTCCCTGAAGATAGATCTGCATTTTCCAGATCATAATTCAAATTCTATGTCTTGATATAGGAGAAAACAGCCCCAACTCTAAATCTCTATATAGCAGCAGTTTAAAATAACATCAGAACTGCTGGGACTATCAAAACAGTGTTCTCCGTTTCAAGCATATAGCTCAATGAATAATGCATTTTCTTTTTGAGAAAATAAAGCCAATGAGCACGTAAAGGTTAAAAAATTGGGAAAGTTGCAGGAAATTCTGGAAATAATTTCCTCTTTTTTTTGCTGTTGCACTTTGCAGGCAATGCAGGTCTGCGCAGTGTTCTTCAGGATAGAGTGTAGGCGTTGAGAGCCAATGTGACAATAAGTGTCTAAATTAGGAATTCCATCCATGAAAGGGGCTTCATTTTATAATCGGTAACTCAAAAAGAGGTCGTATTTCTTTTCCTAATGAAATCCAGTACTTTTGCTTCCATTTATTTGACAGTGCATGTCTGCATTGCTGTGCTCATCAAGGATTAGAAAGAGTGAGGAAATAGCTCTGATTTCACTTTCAAGCTTGCTCAAGAGAGCCCCCTCAATATAATGCTCTTTATTTTAATCCTTAAGCCTTGGTGTACGGAGCCTTGTTTTATACTAAAGAATCAAAAATGAATCACTGAACTCTGCCGCCCCCCCACCCCCGTCCCCGACTGCAGGGCCAGTTCAAACAATTGTATTTCCCTTTTTTAAGAAAGAAAGAATGGGGTGGGGGTGTCTAAGGGATGGCTACCAAGATCTCAAGGATACTGTATTTATTTATTTATTTATTTATTTGTGTCCTGCTAAGAAGCAAACCGGCATTTAGTTTAGCTATTCTCCAAACTGATTTTCTGGGTGACACTTTAGTTTAGCCGAACATAGACGGCGCCATCACTCCACTAAATTTTTTCCCCAATAGAAGACCCACTGCCTCCCCTTATCTTAACTTCCTTCTAACCTAAAAATTTCTCCTCATAAAATCACCCCAATCACACACAACCGTCAGTTTTTCTAGGTCTCCTTGCCTGTTCCTTCCGACCATGCACATCTCTTGAAAAACAGACTTCTCTAACTTTTCAACTGCGGCGTTTAAGTAAATGCAGACAGTCGGGTTTGGTCGTAGCCCCTCCATCTGCCAGCAACAGCCTTTCCTTTCCTTGTCCTCCCTCCGCAAACACCTAGACGAAAGCTCCTCGGTGGCGACCCCTGGCAGAGGGAAGGTGACCCCTGGACCCCCTTCCTTACCTTCCACTCCGAAAGCTCAGGGAGGCTCTTGCTCTAAGACACCAGCACAGGCACGCGTCCCAGCAACAGTGACGGAGAGACTCCCCTTCGGTCCCAATCACCGTTGCCCATTTTCCCCGGCTCAGCTTCAAAAATCAGGATTTATTTTATTTTTTTTAAATGCACACTTAAGAGAAGCAAAAGATGGGGGAGAAAAATCAAAGAGGGGAGGGGTGGGAGAAAAAAAGCCCCCAGGACCCCGGAGCCTGACGCCGTAGCCAACTGAATCCAACCTCCAACCAAGGGAGGGGGGAGCCCCCCGTAGAGAGACTCTAAAGAAACAAAAATATGCAAGTGGCTTAAAAGCAAGGATTTGTTTTTATCAAATCTACCCCCAACAAACCGATGAGCCAAGAAGCAAAGAAAGCGCTGAGACGAGAAGTGACCGGCGGCAGCAGCGGCTGCTAAGGCAGATTTGTTGGGGCGGTGGGTTTATTACAGGAGTATTCGTGGTCGGATCGGAAGGCTCAAGCTTATGCTCTTTCCTCTTTCCGCTTTCCTCCCTCCTCCTCCTCCCCCTCCCCCCGCAGGTACTGATGGACGGACCGCGACTAAGGAGAGGGGGGAAAAAAATCCTTGGCTGGTGATGTCGGAAAGCTGTTTGAATGCCCAGCGAGGAGGGGCGCGAGAGGGAGAGAGATAGTAAAGCTCTGTCTCGGGTGTGCGCGCCGGCGCGCGGCGCTTGCTCTCCCCGGGGCGCGCGCCAAGGAGGGGGTGCGCGTCCCCGGGGTGCGCGTGCGCGCCGACTCCCGCGTGCTCTTGCGCGCGCGCGCCCCGCGCCCCG